GCAGTTCTTTCCTAAAATTTGGGAAAATCCTCCTGTGTACCTTTAAGTTTGACTTTTTAACACATTCTCACTGAGGAGTTTTTCTAATCACAAAAGCACTTAGTTAGTCCCAACACTAATCTCATGAATAGTGAAACCACCCCTTCTATTTCATGGTTCTGTGCCATAACAAATACAAAAGTAAAGTAAACAAAATATATCTTTTGCATAATAATTGTATAATATTTTGCAGAAAACAGAAAGCTGAAACATGAACAGACGACTATATGAGGCGTGGATGTCTGCAATGTATATTCTGCTTTTTAAATAATGTACATATGTATTATTATGTAAATCTTCCATGTTTTCCCAGTATTCCAGTCACACGGGCTGCAGTTTAATGATCAGACTCTTTCCATAGACACCAGTTCCTCCTGTCAGCTGAGATTTGCCTTCTGTCGGTGCATCCTGCCCACATCACCCCCCACCGAGGGGTTCAGAGAGCATCCGGGAGGCTAGGCTCTACTCCGAGCTCCTTTCCTGTGACTGAGGTCCTCACCGTGTATTTGTAAGGGAGTGCACAGCTATCCTTTTCAACCGTTTGTATCTACAATGTTGTCCTTTTGGCTTCCGATCATTGACTAGAATAACTATACTAATTAAGTTGTGACTAATTGTATGATCTATTCTTTGATTCTGTCTAAATTGTTGTTGTCTATAATCCAGGGTGTGTATATGCACTTTGTTTTGTGTGTCTTTATGTCCTTCTTATGTACTATTTTTGTTGTGATATGAAGAGTTTGATTGTATTTGAGTTTGTAATTGAGCTTTTTACTTGTTAGGAAATAGATTGAACTGAAACTAAAGAGGAAGGAATAGTCCACCTCCCTGGAAAAGGTACAGCACCGTTCTCTCCATCTTGGCTGAAATTTTCTGATTTACAGCTGAGTGAATATAGCTCCTGAAAAGACTTTACTCAATGCCTGTTTGTCATTTATAAGTTTCTTGCTTTTTTCTACCTGAGATGTTGCTGCGGTCCAGTGTTTATGGTTTTGCACTGGTCCAGACCGGAGCAGAGACATAGATAGATAGATAGATACTTTATTGATCCCCGTAGGAGAAATTCAGGTGTCCAGTTGCAGTAAAAATAAAACAATAAAATTGATGATTCCAAAATGCTAACAATAGCAATTATCAAATCAGCAACAGCCCTTCAGGTCACAGCAGCAGAGGTGGAGTAGCCTCTGGGTGGAGCAGGACGGGTCACAAGGTGGAGCAGCGGCTTGGTTTGGATCATTTTCTCTGCTCTAGTACAAAGTAAAAAGCTAAATGCTCTATTAGCATACTTCAAAAAGTTAGCATTCCTCCAGTGGATTTTCTCCTGATCCACTTGGTTTGGACCATGAATCCTCTCTGCTCTGGTCTGGACCAGTGCAAAACCATGAACACTGTACTGCAGCAACATCTCAGGTAGAAAAAATCAATAAAAATAAAAATTGTAAAGCATAAAACAACAACTGTTTCAGAGCTACTGACTCCAAACCAAACGGATCAGGCAAAAATCCACTGGAGGAATGCTAACTTGAAAAATGCTAACAAAGCATTCAGCATTTTACTTTGGACTAGAGGTCCGAACCAAGCTGCTCCGTCTCTGCTGCTGTGGCCTGAAGTGCTGTTGCTTGATTTTACTATTGTTAGCTTTTTAATAATCAATTCATTTGTTTTGTTTGTCTGGGTGGATGCTACTGGACACCTGATTTTCTTCTACGGGGATCAGTAAAGTATCTAACTAACTAACAACACTATAGAGAGGACGAGTGGATCCTTCTGGAACCTTAACACTGAAGGAAACAATCTTCGGTCAGAGAGATGGAAGTATAAATCTGCCATGTGTCAGAGGAGGATGTGACAGAGAAGTGTTTCTTGAACAGTCTGACAACTTCCTCAGGCGACATCAACATCTCTGTTTACATTGTTTTGTGAAACATTATGTCCTGGTCCTGAGACTTTGGACAGCGTTCCAGAAAGACTTTGAGTCCTACCAACAGTTTTGCTCCACAGACTCTCCAGCCCTGAGGTTGTAACACACACAGCGACGCAGTGGATCATTGACCACCAGCTTAGAGAAAGGTAACTAATGATCTAAGGACCCAGCCTTCACCTGCTGCGACCTCCACACATCCTGCTGCATCCGGGGGTCACAGCAGCTCAGAGGCAGATAGAGAGGGGTTCTTTCCACCAACCTATGAGGCAGGAAGGAGATGACAGTGTTTTTTTCCTTTTGATAAATGAATTGTGTTTGACATAAGTTTGGATATTGTTTTCAAGTAGGGCTGCATTAGACCGGAACTGGCCAAATATCAAGAAGAGATGGATTTGAAAGCTGATAGTCCGACAGATCAGGGAGTGGATGCAAAACAACTTCCTTCAGCTAAACGCAGACAAAACTGAAATGATTGTTTTTGGCCAGAAACAAAGAGAGAGCGTCATCTGTCACCTACAGTCTCTCTCCCTAAAACCTTCAAACAAGGTCAGAAATCTAGGGGTAATACTGGACTCAGACTTAAATTTTAATAGCCACATCAAATCAGTAACATCAGCAGCTTTTTACCATCTAAAAAACATTGCCAGGATCAAAAACATAGTGTCTAAAGCAGACTTGGAGATTCTTATCCATGCATTTGTCTCCAGTAGGTTAGACTACTGCAATGGCCTGCTCACAGGTCTGTCCAAACAGGCTGTAAAACAGCTGCAGTACATTCAAAATGCAGCAGCTCGAGTCCTGACAAGAACCAGGAAGTACGACCACATTAGTCCAGTTCTCAGGTCTCTGCACTGGCTTCCTGTGGCTCAGAGAATAGACACAAGTCTCTCTGTGGCCTCACACCAAAGTACATCTGTGACATGTTAGTATGAACCGACCATATGAACCGACCCGGATTCTGAGGAGCACAGGGACTGGCCTCCTGCTGGGACTCTGAGGAGGCCAGTCTATTTTGTTCTGTTCAGCACTTTGAGGTGCCTTGTGTATGAATTGTGCTGTACAAATAACCTTACCTTTCAGTTAAATGTAAAATAGATAAATAATTGGCCTAACTTAACTTCTAATTACTTTTTCGTTAACATTTTAAAACAGGTTAAATATGGTTGCTTTGAAGTAAAACATGCCATAGTCTCAGTACCATCAATGCTGCAGGTTTCTGAGGAGCCACTGAGACGGTCTCTCGGTCTCTGAGGCCGGAGTTGGTCCCTGGTTCTGAGAAGTTAGACCTGTCCGTACGTTTATACTACTACATGAACTGAGCTGAATGTAGCTGTGTAGTCTTTGCTGACACTTAGTTGACCTGTGAAGAACGGAAAGTTTTTTGTGGTTTGAGTCATTTCACAGTTTTTTTCTTTTGTCTGCCGGTAAACATCAACAACGCAGGTTTTTAAAAAAAAAAAATTTAAATAAATGTTACAGTTTACAGTTAACTCTCCAAACTCCATTAATCTCTGTAAATGTTGTGTGCTCTTACTGCTGTCATTCTAGTTTAAGATGATGAGATTCTTTATTAGTTATACAGTGGGGAAATTCCAGTGTTGCCTCACAAGTTACAGGAATGAGGACCCCACAGCACAAAATAAATCTATATTAGAATAAGTTAAATTACTACTACATCAAAATGTCTCCACTGTGGAACAATTAAAGGTTGTTATCTAATCCTCTTATCTTATCCTAATTAAAATCTATATTGAAGTAACTTTGAACTTTTCTCCACAACAAACTCAAAAGGACAAATGTGAATGTACCTGAAGTGAAAAGAAAATTTCTGTCGTCAGATGACCTCAAACATGGAACAAGAACATTCTGTGGTTTCACTTTTTGTCGTGTCTCGGGTCTGAACTAAACTCGTAAACAAACACAGTCATGTAAGTAATCCTTTCAAGTTACTTTCTCGAGTAACTGTAGTGAAATATAAATGTGTAAAAATGACATTGCTACAGTAACTTTCCAAACACTGATCGTTTTCAAAAATAGTAATTTCCTTCTTTTCGCCCCAAAAGTGTTGTTTCACTTCCTCTGTGTCTTTGAGCCAAGGGTTGTGTCGTGACTCATGTAAAATATTTGCTTATCTCCAGGACAAGAAGAATGTGAAGATCTTTGTTCTGAAATCTTTGATATAAAAGTAGAAAAACAAAATCAAACTAAACTCTAATACAAATAAAGTACAGTGGTTAGAACGTCTCAGCAAAAACGTCCTGGGTTCAATTCTATCTCCAGACGTGCCCCTCTGTGTGGAGTTTGCATGTTCTCCCTGTGTCTGCATAGGTTTCATCCAGGTGCTCTGATTTCCTCCAGGCGCTCCGGTTTCCTCCAAGTGCTCCGGTTTCCTCCAGGTGCTCCGGTTTACGTCAGGTGCTCCGTGTTTCCTCCAGGTGTTCTGGTTTCCTCCAGGTGCTCCAGTTTTCTCCAAGTGCTCCAGTTTCCTCCAGGTGCTCGGGTTACCTCCAGTTTCTCCGGTTTCCTCCAGGCGCTCCGGTTTTCTCCTGGCGCTCCGGTCTTATGTGGAGTGAGAAACAAATGCTAAGAAAAATTGTAAAGCTCTTTGTGATTTATTTTTTATTGCCGTTGTAAGTAACAGGAAGTCACAAAACAGGAAGTTGCTTTTGGCTCGAGGTGAGAGAAATAAATAGATATGACATGCATACAAAAATGAAAAAACACATCATTTACTTACTTACAGTCTGTAAATATGTAAATGTGTCTGTAAATGTTGAAATGTAATATTACTGTACAAAATGCAGTAAAATATTGTAAAACTTCATGTTCTCCGGTTTCCTCCAGACGCAACGGTTTCCTCCAGACGCTACGGTTTCCTCCAGGTGCTCCGGTTTCCTCCAGACGCTCCGGTTTCCTCCAGACTCTCCGGTTTCCTCCAGACGCTCCGGTTTCCTCCAGACGCTCCGGTTTCCTCCAGACGCTCCGGTTTCCTCCAGACGCAACGGTTTCCTCCAGACGCAACGGTTTCCTCCAGACACTACGGTTTCCTCCAGGTGCTCCGGTTTCCTCCAGACGCTACGGTTTCCTCCAGACGCTCCGGTTTCCTCCAGACGCTACGGTTTCCTCCAGACGCTCCGGTTTCCTCCAGACGCAACAGCTTCCTCCAGGCGCTCCGGTTTCCTCCAGGCGCTCCGGTTTCCTCCAGGCGCTCCGGTTTCCTCCAGACGCAACAGCTTCCTCCAGGCGCTCCGGTTTCCTCCAGGCGCTCCGGTTTCCTCCAGGCGCTCCGGTTTCCTCCAGGCGCTCCGGTTTCCTCCAGACGCTCCGGTTTCCTCCAGACGCTACGGTTTCCTCCAGACGCTCCGGTTTCCTCCAGACGCGACGGCTTCCTCCAGACGCTACGGTTTCCTCCAGGTGCTCCGGTTTCCTCCAGACGCAACGGCTTCCTCCAGACGCTCCGGTTTCCTCCAGACGCAACAGCTTCCTCCAGGCGCTCCGGTTTCCTCCAGACGCTCCGGTTTCCTCCAGACGCAACGGCTTCCTCCAGACGCTCCGGTTTCCTCCAGACGCAACAGCTTCCTCCAGGCGCTCCGGTTTCCTCCAGGCGCTCCGGTTTCCTCCAGGTGCTCCGGTTTCCTCCAGGCGCTACGGTTTCCTCCAGGCGCTCCGGTGTCCTCCTTACAACTGAAACTAGATAAAAACACGGAAAGTTACTGATTACAAAAGAATACCTGTAAATTCAACATTCTTTCACTGAAATTCTGGAGTAAAGTTACTGCTCCGTAACTATGTGAAGAAATGAATAAGTGACCAAAAAAAAGCAATAATAATAATATTTTTTAGGAGTAATTTACAAATAAAATGACAAAAAGAACCATAACAACAGTATCTGCTTATTTCAAGACATGTCTACGCTGTAAAAAAAAAGGATTTCTATGGAAACTGTCGACTAATATATTAGTCGACAGTTTCCATAGAAATCCTCTTTAAGATTAATGTTTAGAACCGAGTTGTTTACGGAACCGAGTGAGGAGGTTATTTGGGGCACAAACCTTGAGAATGCTCATAAATCAAAATATATTCCAGCTCTGGGATTTCGAGAGAATGTTTGACCCTGGAGACGATCACTCAATTAATATTTAGTTTCAAAGTACTTTTCATACACAACATGTCTTTCCTTCAAAGTCCCTCAGACACTTTTCAAACCAATGGCACCGTTACTGCACTTTTTGTTCAGTAGTGTTTGTGATTTTTTTTTTTATGTTTCAGCAGCATGTGGCTTTTAACTGGTATTTGAGAATCCCCCGTTCATTTCTGCAACATGGTAGAGGCGGCAACTGGCCAAAACTTATTGTACTGCCATATTTGGGCCACAATTCGATGACATTTTGTAATTCTTTAAGGTTTATGGGAGGATTTTCTTCTTCCGGGTGGATCATTTGGACATTGGTCGTCCTAATTATCAATCACTTTGTTGATAAGCAAGAAATGTTTTAATAGGAGGGAGGTTCTTTCCTAAAATAGGGGAAAATCCTCTTATATACCTTTTGAAAGCATACATTTCTTACTGGATTTTTTGTAAATTATTGTAAAGCACTTTGGTTGCCTTGAGTGTTGTAAAGGGCTCTATTAATAAAATGTATTGATTGATTGATTGATTAAGGCAGCACAGTTCAAATGTCACATTGGTCTGCACATTAACTCAATTCAAACAAATTCAATGTGTTTTTGTATAGACCTAAATCACAACAACAGTTATTAACTCAGTGGAAAAACCTTGGGGAGGCCCACGTTGGGAGAGGGATCCATGGACGGACGGGCCTGAGATTCAGGACTCAGGCTGTAGAATGAGGACCGAGGCCACACGATGCAGGACTGAGGCGGCTCCCAGGTGAGGAGGGGGTGCAGCTCCCTGTCCCCTGTCTGGGGCGGCCGGGTTCAGGGCTCACATCATCCCATAATGAAAGAAACAGACAATGGGACAGCGGGTGAATAGCAATGAAGAGACTACTGGAGTGTAAGGACTTGGGAAGAATGTGCAAAAGCGCGTCCTGTCCAATCGGTTGTGAAGAAGCAGTTTCCATTTGAACTTACTGTAAATAACCAAAGTCAGAGAAAACACAAAAGTGAACCAACATCACCATAGTTTGCTCCACTGCAGGGGTGTCCAAACTTTTTAGTAAGAGGGCCACTTTGGTTCATCAGACTTGACCTGGGGCTGACAACCTGGATTTTGAAAACTGGTTTGCGCTGGATTGACTGGACTCTGGAATTTTAAACAGGTCGTGATACGTCCTTATAGATTCACATCACAGCTGCATTTTATGTGGAAGGTTGTGACACAATCATAAAATAAATGACAGAATATAACAATGGAGCCAACGACTGGATTCCAGAGGGTCTGAGATTTACAACAAACTATAGCATGACTGTTAAAAGCAAAGAAGGTGAGTGCTGCAAAGGGTACGAGGGGTAGAAGGCTTAAGTGCTCTTCAAAGACAGGGCAAACAGATCTATGTCAAAAAAGGAAGTCTGAGGCACTCTGTTGAAGTGAAAAACTGTAAAAATCCTGCATTAAGATGGACTGCCTACGTGTTTCGACCAAAGCGGTCTACGTCAGGGCATAGTGATCTCAATCAGGTTTGTTCCTTTTAAAAACAAGACATGGCACAGGACAGTAAAAACATGTGACAGGGATGAACACAGACTTTTCATATTGTACAGCAAATAAATAGCATGACTGTATTTGTGGAGCTGAAGTTGGTTTGCTGACATGCTTGCAATACCACCCAGGGCCGATGAGGGTGGACCCGGAATAAGAATCATTCAATGCTAACATGTAGCATTAGCTGAGCTCTGGAAAACGTCTTTACAGGATGGAACAAAAGTCGGCTCTTGGCCCAAAGCTCCGTTCCAAATGTGTGTCAATGCTGAGGGGGGTGAATTTTTTTGGACCAGTCTAGTTTAGTTGCTGTGAATGAACGGGGCTTGTGCCGGCATTTTCCAGTCCCCGCGGCCATTTTGAAACTGCCCATAGACCGTGGAAGTTGTGGCACAATAGTTAGAACGGCGGAGATAGGCGGATACATTTTCCCCCCACCACTAATAACATGTCACTCACTAAACTGGAAACCATGGATACGCAATTCTTTCGACAAGTTTATGACGCCATAGAAGTTAAATATATGGGATTGGGAAACATTTCACAGAAAATGAACAAGAGAAAGGGTGATTTCTTTACATTCGAGGTTGAAAGGAGGCAAGAAGAACGTGGCAGTGCAGGTTGTACTCTCTCTCTCTTTATGTTTCCACTAATCCTTGTTTGTTTATTTCTTGCAGCTCTGTCCTGCTACCCGAGCATGATGGATGAAGTTTCGTCCCACACCTTCCTCCTCCATCATTCCGGCTCATGCCATACCGGTCCGTGCTGGTCGCCCTCTTTCCCGATCAAAACGCTCTTGTCCTGAGGAAAGTATCTGGTCATTCTGGTACCTTTGAAGAAAAGATAAAAGTATATTTGTCCCTCGGTGGCAAAATTTCAAAGCCATAGTTGTTCACGTTACAGCAGAATAGAAGGAGAAATATGCAGATTATCCACACATCAAACTAAATGTAATCTAATATTTAAGATAATAGATAAAAACAACAAAGAAAATACACTCTCAGGTATAATTGCACTTGGGCCAAGGGTAAGTCACTAGAAAAAAAAAAAAAACTAGATAATTGCCAATTGATTTAAAGTCTACATTACTTATCCCATGTCACCATTCCTGCATGTGAAAGCCAGACATCTGAAGCTAAGCAGAGCAGGGCCTGGTTTGTACTGTGATGGGAGACCTCTGGCGGCTGCGGCTGTAAAGTGCCAAACTGTTAATGTGTCCTGAGGCAAGATGCTACACCCACATGAGAATGAGTCTGGTGTGTGTGTGAATGGTTGGTGGTGGTGGTGGGAGGGGCTGATGGCACATACTGGTTGCCTCGCTTCTGTCAGTGTGCCCCAGGGCAGCTGTGGCTACAGTAGTAGTGTATGACCACTGTGTATGGAGTGAAAGAAGAATGGCATGTGAAGCGTTTTTGAGTGTCCAGAAAAAGCACATTATTATAATTATTACATTACATTACATTATGGTTACACTGTAAATCACAATTCAAACCTTAGGGAATAAGATTAACCAACCCTTGCTTATTTTCTCTTAAACTGTCAAGGTTATTTGTTAAACATAAGTAACCTTTATTTTGAAGAAAACATGTAAACTTTCCTCAAAGACAATGATCCACTGTTACTCACAACTGTTTTGTAATCACAACATGAGAATCCTGCACATGCCCAGAGCAGTTAGAGGCTCAATCACTTCCTGAAATATGTCTGGACAAGAACAGTTTGACTGAACCATGAGCTCAGCACCGTCCACACCACAGCTGGAAAATGATAGACCTGAACACTGACAAATGACAATAATGTGCTAATTGATTAGGACTGGAACGTTTCCTTAAATATAAACTTAAAGCTGCACTAACTCAATTTGAGACATTTTCGAATGTCCCCTTAGCCACACATGTGCTGTTTACGGAGCTCACGTCTCACAATATGGATCGCACATTTGAATGTGGCGTGACCATAGAATGACTGAACCAGGAAGCGCGGAGGAACAAGACTTTCTTTTGGCTGTTTCACTGAGTAAGCAGTAACCGATAATGAAGACACAGGAAGGTTCAGGTTAGCCTCCGCCGCTTGTTTACCTCAGCTGTCTGTGCTAACGAGAGACCTGTGGCTTTTCTCAAGAAAGTGGGGGCCAGTGGTCCGCTGTGATTGGTCACAATCTGGTCCTGAAACAAATTCTCTTCCTTGTTTCACAAAAAACTTGATCTAAAATAAAACGACAAGACAGCACAAATCTGCGCAACTTTTTCTTCAAAAGGACGTATATCCCAATGCACTGCATGGATATGGATTGAATTTTTGTAATGAATACAAAAATAAAGTCAGGTGATGCAGCTTTAAGTCCAAGATGATACTAAGTCAATCTCAAATGTTCTAGTTTAAGAGGCTCAAGGATCTTATTCAAAAAACCAATTCATGGACTTATAATCAGTAGAGAATCCTGTTACCACCAGGTGCAACATCCAGAAAGGCCGTCTCAGGGATAACTTTACTTCATGAAGAGAAAGATTTCATGAATAATTTTAAAATAACCTTAAAATGCACTTCTTCTAATGGCAACCAATATTACTCGATGATAATTTTTGAATATTAAATTATGGCAATTCCAATAATCGCAATTTACAGTGTGCATTCACAAGTAGTAGATTTTGAAGTGAATTCTGGTTCACTTAGAGGGGAAATTATACTAACCATGTGAAGATGTGAAATATGGGTCCCTATAGTCACAGAAGTCAGTTCAGGGACGTGTGAAGGCACAAAACTGTTGCATTTTTTGTGTCAATTTCTCAGATTTCCATTGATTTGAATGGGACCAATGGGAGTTTGTGTAGTTTCATAATTATGGGAGTCGCAGTGTTAATTATCTGACCACACCCCCAACCGTTGCACTGTGGTCTATGTGGAGAAGTGAGTCCCAGGTGTGAGCCAAGGTGAAAGCCCCCTCGTCTCTGTTCATGGTCCATGGACATTTTTTTGTTGATTCTTGTTGATGGAGAAACTTTAAAACCTTTCAGAAATAATTTGCTGTTTAATACTTTCTTCAAAAAGCATGATCATCTTTGGGTACTAGAACACGGAAAGGTTTGCAGGATGTGTTTTTCTAATCTTTTGGAACATTACACGTACATTCTCCCTCCACCTGCTGAAAGTAAACACTGCTTTCTCAAACAGGACTTTAAACATTGAAGAAGGTGAATGAGAACGGTGCAGTCTGTCGGTGATGTCAGCGCTCAGAGGTTTGTGTGAGTTTTGGTCGACTGTGACATAAGAGCGTGGTCTCACAGATAACGTACCGTCTCCAGGTGTCCCGCTCCCAGACTCTGAAGGCCCGGTCAGGAAGTGCATGAGGACAGTCCACACTAACAGTTTCACATGCTGTAATACACTTTTCCTCATTTTCTATTCATTTCTGAAACATCTATTTTGACCATCTACAGCGGTTGTTATAAAATGAGACTTGAGTGGCTTAACACTAGAACTCCCGGAACCGGTCATTTGGACTGTTCCCCTTCAAACAAATAGAATTCTGAGGAATGTTTAGTTTTATTAAAATTAAGTAATTCATAAGATTTTTACCTTCACTCACTTTTACTAAATGCATAAACTGGTGAATGTGATTTTAAATACAGAATAAAGCTGTTTGTTGAAAGGCTAAATGATAACTGCTGCTGGTAAACAGTGTGTTGCTATGGTAACTAACACTTGAGCACAAGACCAGTCCAAAACCAGTCCAAGACCAATCCAAGACCAGTCCAGGACCAGTACAGACATAGTCCAGAACCACTCAAAGACCAGTCCAGGACCAGTCCAAGACCAGTCCAAGACAAGTCCATGGACCAGCCCAAGACCAGTCCAGGACCACTCCAGAAATAGTCCAGTAACTGTCCAAGACCAGTCCAGGAGCAGTCCAGGGCCAGTCCAAGACCAGTCCAGGACCACTCCAGAAATAGTACAGTACCTGTCCAAGACCAGTCCAAGACCAGTCCAAGACCAGAACCTTGAAAAGAGCGTTAACTGCCTCAGGAAGTTGCTTTACTTTCACTTTCACATTGATGGAGCTAACGGTCAAACTTCTCACGTTACAAAAACGAACGATAACTCCGTGGAAAATAATGACATAGAAAGAAACAACAAATAAATACAGAAATATTCACAAACTTTGTAAGACCCAAAACTACAGTACATGAGCAGGGTCAATACACTTTAAGCCGTCAAATTGACTGGTTGGGGGGTTCTATTGTTTGTGCACGTGAATGAGCGGTGCACGTTGAGAAGGAATGTGAAATGATTAATGATTATATTCAGAGCTGGCAGCGCGGCCTGGGAATGTGGAAAACTACTTATTTCACTGTTTAACTTTTGTTTTGAAACTTGTCCGACGCCCGAGGACTGATGCAGGTGAGTGTGCTCCGTATCTGTGAATCTCTAAAACACCGGTGAAGTTGAACCAACCGCCGCTTAAAAATTTACAGCAGGACAGAACTGGACACGTTTACAAGCAAATGATACTTAAATAACTCAAAGCAAACGTGAAACTAAAGGAAAAACATCAAAGAGACCGTTCTCCAGGTTTAAAGTCAGGTCCTTTACCATTTTATTACAGTCACAAAATACAGTGCTGAAAATAAGTCAAGGCAAGTTTATTTGTACAGCACAATTCATACACAAGGAAACTCAAAGTGCTGAACAGAATAAGACAGATCCAAGATCACACATGGCACAAATAATCACAGTACATTCAAAAGAGTCCAGATTAAATCCCTCAGTTGTACGCACAGCTAAACAGAAATAAATAAATAAATTAATGAACAAAGCCGATGTTCTTGTGTGTCAGTGAGATGTGTTACTTACAGTCATGAAAAACTTCCTTGTGTGTAAGTTTAGGAACCCTATAATTATTCACTGGAAGAACAATCTATGATATGTTGGTCCCATATGAATCAACTCTGAGGAGCACAGGGACTGGCCTCCTGCTGGGACTCTGAGGTGCACAGGGACTGGCCTCTTGCTGGGACTCTGAGGAACACCGGGACTGATCTCCTGTTGGGACTCTGAGGAGCACAGGGACCGGCCTCCTGTTGGGACTCTGAGGAGCACAGGGTCTGGCCTCCTGCTGGGACTCCGAGGAACACAGGGACTGATCTCCTGTTGGGACTCTGAGGAGCACAGGGACCGGCCTCTTGCTGGGACTCCGAGGAACACAGGGACTGGTCTCCTGCTGGGACTCTGAGGAGCACAGGGACTGGTCTCCTGCTGGGACTCTGAGGTGCACAGGGACTGGCCTCCTGCTGGGACTCTGAGGGGCACAGGGACTGGCCTCCTGCTGGGACTCAGAGGAGCACAGGGACTGGCCTCCTGCTGGGACTCCGAGGAACACAGGGACTGGTCTCCTGCTGGGACTCCGAGGAACACAGGGACTGGTCTCCTGCTGGGACTCTGAGGGGCACAGGGACTGGTCTCCTGCTGGGACTCAGAGGAGCACAGGGACTGGCCTCCAGCTGGGACTCAGAGGCGCACAGGGTCTGGCCTCTTGCTGGGACTCAGAGGTGCACAGGGACTGGCCTCCTGCTGGGACTCAGAGGAGCACAGGGACTGGCCTCCAGCTGGGACTCAGAGGCGCACAGGGTCTGGCCTCTTGCTGGGACTCAGAGGCGCACAGGGACTGGCCTCCTGCTGGGACTCAGAGGCGCACAGGGTCTGGCCTCTTGCTGGGACTCAGAGGCGCACAGGGACTGGCCTCCTGCTGGGACTCAGAGGCGCACAGGGACTGGCCTCCTGCTGGGACTCAGAGGCGCACAGGGACTGGCCTCCTGCTGGGACTCAGAGGCGCACAGGGTCTGGCCTCTTGCTGGGACTCTGAGGAGCACAGGGACTGGCCTCCTGCTGGGACTCAGAGGAGCACAGGGACTGGCCTCCTGCTGGGACTCTGAGGAGCACAGGGACTGGTCTCCTGCTGGGACTCTGAGGAGCACAGGGACTGGCCTCCTGCTGGGACTCTGAGGAGCACAGGGACTGGTCTCCTGCTGGGACTCTGAGGAGCACAGGGACTGGCCTCCTGCTGGGACTTTGAGGAGCACAGGGACTGGCCTCCTGCTGGGACTCTGAGGAGCACAGGGACTGGTCTCCTGCTGGGACTCTGAGGAGCACAGGGACTGGTCTCCTGCTGGGACTCTGAGGAACACAGGGACTGGCCTCCTGCTGGGACTCTGAGGAGCACAGGGACTGGCCTCCTGCTGGGACTCTGAGGAGCACAGGGACTGGCCTCCTGCTGGGACTCTGAGGAGCACAGGGACTGGCCTCCTGCTGGGACTCTGAGGAGCACAGGGACTGGCCTCCTGCTGGGACTCTGAGGAGCACAGGGACTGGCCTCCTGCTGGGACTCTGAGGAGCACAGGGACTGGCCTCCTGCAGGGACTCTGAGGAGCACAGGGACTGGCCTCCTGCTGGGACTCTGAGGAGCACAGGGACTGGCCTCCTGCTGGGACTTTGAGGAGCACAGGGACTGGCCTCCTGCAGGGACTCTGAGGAACACAGGGACCGCATCCTGCTGGGACTCTGAGGAGCACAGGGACTGGCCTCCTGCTGGGACTCTGAGGAACACAGGGACCGCATCCTGCTGGGACTCTGAGGAGCACAGGGACTGGTCTCCTGCTGGGACTCTGAGGAGCACAGGGACTGGCCTCCTGCTGGGACTCTGAGGAGCACAGGGACTGGCCTCCTGCTGGGATTCTGAGGAGCACAGGGACTGGTCTCCTGCTGGGACTCTGAGGAGCACAGGGACTGGCCTCCTGCAGGGACTCTGAGGAGCACAGGGACTGGCCTCCTGCAGGGACTCTGAGGAGCACAGGGACTGGCCTCCTGCTGGGACTCTGAGGAGCACAGGGACTGGCCTCCTGCTGGGACTCTGAGGAGCACAGGGACTGGCCTCCTGCTGGGACTCTGAGGAGCACAGGGACTGGCCTCCTGCTGGGACTCTGAGGAGCACAGGGACTGGCCTCCTGCTGGGACTCTGAGGAGCACAGGGACTGGCCTCCTGCTGGGACTCTGAGGAGCACAGGGACTGGCCTCCTGCAGGGACTTTGAGGAGCACAGGGACTGGCCTCCTGCAGGGACTCTGAGGAACACAGGGACTGGCTCCTGCTGGGACTCTGAGGAGCACAGGGACTGGCCTCCTGCTGGGACTCTGAGGTGCACAGGGACTGGCCTCCTGCTGGGACTTTGAGGAGCACAGGGACTGGCCTCCTGCTGGGACTCTGAGGAACACAGGGACTGGCCTCCTGCTGGGACTCTGAGGAGCACAGGGACTGGCCTCCTGCAGGGACTCTGAGGAACACAGGGACTGGCTCCTGCTGGGACTCTGAGGAGCACAGGGACTGGCCTCCTGCTGGGACTCTGAGGTGCACAGGGACTGGCCTCCTGCTGGGACTTTGAGGAGCACAGGGACTGGCCTCCTGCAGGGACTCTGAGGAACACAGGGACCGCATCCTGCTGGGACTCTGAGGAGCACAGGGACTGGCCTCCTGCAGGGACTCTGAGGAGCACAGGGACTGGCCTCCTGCAGGGACTCTGGGGAGCACAGGGACTGGCCTCCTGCAGGGACTCTGGGGAGCACAGGGACTGGCCTCCTGCAGGGACTCTGGGGAGCACAGGGACTGGCCTCCTGCTGAGACAACACTGTGTACCTCAGCTGGCCTGGGGATGCCTCAAGTGTGTGTGGAGAGGTCTCTGCTCAGACTGCTGCCTCTGCCAACCCGGGAATGGATGAAGTGGAAGAAAAGGCATGCACCAGCCCCAGTGACAAAGACAAGTTTATGGAGCAGAGCGAGTAGGAGCCAAGTTTCAGGAAAGTTCATTCTTTCACTTTCTAATCATAACAATTCAAACGATAGAACTTCCTTCTTCCTACATGTGTTTCAATCTGAAGAGACCAAAGACACGATAAATACATTAAAATGATTTATTTGTTTGGCGCATTGACCCCGGCAGTGACACTTGCAGCTATGAGATCGATTGCAGCTGAGATGATCTCAGATCCCCCGGGGTCAATCACTGGTGGTGGCTAGAGTATGGTGTGAATGGGGCGTAGGCGGAGCAGGAGCCGGAGTGGGAGCCTAGAGCGGGAGCCAGAGCGGGAGCCAGAGCGGGAGCCAAGAGCCAGAGGGGGTGCTGGGGAGGTGGTGGGTGTTTAAGAGCCTCAGGAAGCGTTGTTTGTCAGGAAGTGGCTGCCTTTTAAACTGCCCGCTTTGCTCTGAGAGGGTTGGCAGGAGGCTGGCCTGGCTGTGTGATTGGCTGAGGCTCGAGGCTGGCAGAGCTGTGTGATTGGCTGAGGCTCGAGGCTGGCAGGCACTCGGTCTTTCAGTCTGAACATCCGCTTGAGCTTCATTTCAATCTGAAGAGACCAAAGACACGATAAATACATTAAAATGATTTATTTGTTTGGCGCATTGACCCCGGCAGTGACACTTGCAGCTATGAGATCGATTGCAGCTGAGATGATCTCAGATCCCCCAAAAGAGGAAGCCACGCTATGTGTGCCGGGGAATGCGCAGGCCTCCCGTGGGAAGCTGCCTATCTGGAGGCGTGGGGAGCCTTGCATCGGGGCAGCATTGCATCGGGGCAGCATTGCATAGAGGCTGCATTGCATAGATTGCATAGAGGCAGCATTGCATAGAGGCAGCATTGCATAGAGGCAGCGAGGCAGCATTGCATAGAGGCAGCATTGCATAGAGGCAGCATTGCATAGAGGCAGCATTGCATAGAGGCAGCATTGCATAGAGGCAGCATTGCATAGAGGCAGCATTGCATAGAGGCAGCATTGCATAGAGGCAGCATTGCATAGAGGCAGCATTGCATGGAGGCAGCATTGCATAGATTGCATGGAGGCAGCATTGCATAGAGGCAGCATTGCATAGAGGCAGCATTGCATAGATTGCATGGAGGCAGCATTGCATAGAGGCAGCATTGCATGGAGGCAGCATTGCATGGAGGGCAGTGCATTGCATAGAGGCAGCATTGCATGGAGGCAGCATTGCATAGAGGCAGCATTGCATGGATTGCATAGAGGCAGCATTGCATAGAGGCAGCATTGCATCATTGCATGGAGGCAGCATTGCAGCATTGCATGGAGGCAGCATTGCAGCATTGCATGGAGGCAGCATTGCATAGATTGCATGGAGGCAGCATTGCATAGAGGCAGCATTGCATGGATTGCATAGAGGCAGCATTGCATAGAGGCAGCATTGCATCATTGCATGGAGGCAGCATTGCATAGATTGCATGGAGGCAGCATTGCATAGAGGCAGCATTGCATGGAGGCAGCATTGCATGGAGGCAGCATTGCATGGAGGCAGCATAGCATGGAGGCAGCATAGCATGGAGGCAGAATTGCATGGAGGCAGCATAGCCTGGAGGCAGCATTGCGTGGAGGCTGCATTGCATGGAGGCAGCATTGCCTGGAAGCAGAATTGCATGAATAGGATACAGAGAATATGCGGGGGTGACAAATCCGCACGCTCTGTAATGATTATGCGTGTGTGAAGCGTTGGCCCTTGGAGCGTGGGGAGGGTTTCTCGCGCACAGACCGCTTCGTGAGGGTGCATGTATGACGTAGGCCGCAGGGGATCTGTGGGAACAGACACTCACTGAATGAGCGGCTATGTGATCATGCGTGCGTGGTGGATGCATGAAGTGAAGAGTAAATGCGTGTAATCGCAGAGCTGATGCGGGCTCTGCGTGTTGAGAATGTGGAGCAGCAATGTAGAGAGCTTTCTCATACAAGATCTGCTATATTTGAGCATGCGTGTGTCAGCGTATGATACAGAGAATATGCGGGGGTGATGAGGCCGCACGCTCTGTAATGACTATGCGTGTAGAAGCGTGGGCCCTTGGGGCGTGCGGAGCTGCCTCTCGCGCACAGGCCGCTTCGTGAGGTGCGTGTATAGCGTGAGCCGTAGGGGGTTATGCAGAGAAGCTTCTCTGCACAGAGCGCTGCGGTGAGCATGAATGTATGATGTAAGACAAGGTGATCATATGCATGTCCGGATTGAAGTGCAACGATGTTGAGAATGCTTATGTGAGAGAAGAGCCTTAGCCACCACCAGAGTATTTGATAATTACCTCAGATTGAAGAGGGAGCGCTGAGCAGTCAGAATAGTGTCAGTGTTTAGTCTGATAGAGGATGAGGCAGGACCAAGCCGTGGACCATTGACCCATTTGCTGTAGGGAAGAGTGAGGAAGGCCCAGCAGGCTGGAGTGCGGCGGCTATTCTAATCCAGCGGCCGGTATTGGAGAATCGGGAGATCACAGGAGACCGGCCGGATTTATTAAATGGGCTTGGATACATTGCGCAAACATGACGTCATTTGACAGAGAGAGAAATAGCAGCCCATCTGAATCTCCTCTCCGTGCATGGAGGAGTGCATTTCATCAGGTGTTTATCTGGACAGGGGAAAAATAATGCATAATGAAAGTGTGACGGCACCTTCCTTTCGGAGTGTTGAATGCAGGGATTATAGTGATAGGGGTAATAAGTCCTTGGGGCCAGGGTGCAGCTAACCACTGGCCTTGATATGACCCCCAAAAACCCACGGACTGAGCCGCGTCCGTGAAAAAGAAATAAGTAAGTGGAAGAGGCGGTGCCATCATGAAAGACGCCGTTCCGGCAGGCAGCAGCTGAAGCTGAGGTCAGCGCAGCACCTGCGAACAGGAAAACAGGGTTGCAGAGCGCGCAGGAGCCTGGGGATGAACCACGGCCTGAGGAATGACGTGCACTGCGAGGATGAGGCGGCCCAGCCGGAAGAGCAGCACCTGTTTGGGACGTGACAGAGGACAGGACGGACCAAGAGACCTTGGTCCTCCTCCTCCTATCCCCTCTCTCTCCATGTCCAAGCTGAGGGAGCATCTACGAAACCTTCGATGAGGGTCATCACGTGTGCCGGGTGGCCAGTGTGACGGCCAGACGCCTGCCCGGCTTGAGATGGACGAGCCCCGCGTAGGACGGGCATGCCCCGCGCGGGAATGACAGGGCCTATTGCTACGAGAATAATTCGCAAGGCGCGGCCGTGCAGCAAGAGCGCCCTGCAACATAAGGGAGAGATTAAACAAGAACCGACCGAATCTCCTTCTGGACAGGAGAGAGCTATCTTGATGCAATTAGGAACTCAGAACGACGGCAAAGAGCGGCCACGGAGCAGAATAAGTACGAACAGAGCGGTACCTGAGAACGAGCAGTAGAGCGAGCAACCGTTACGATGACTCAGAGCCATGAGAGTGCGGCAGAGAGCATGTGACCGTTGTGGATGCTGCCCCCCGACTCCACGCGGAGAATCGGAGAGAGATCGCCCGTATGAGGCGTAGGGCGGATCAAGCACGCGGTAGCAGTGAGGGAAGGCCAGAGCACGTGGAGGATCCGGAGCAAACCGGCCGGACGAGGGGAGAACATGCAAAACTCCGCACGGAGGTGGAACAAAGCATAAAACTACTTTTGATAATCGACGCCAGCCTGCTCAGGATAAAATGAAACACACTGCTAATGACCTGGGGCAACGCGTCCCTATGAGCAATATTTACTGTACACGGGAGGGGGCTCGAGGATTTCAGTACGAGGGCCGCTTCAGTCCGCCAAACTAGTCCCGGGGCCGACACGTAGGCGAAACCGCATTGGACTGGTCCGAACTTTAGGACAAACTATGAAAGAACTGAAGTTGGCTGATGACGACCTCCTGTCGTCTCGCTAGCTACAGATTAGCGGAGATTCGAGCCCGACCGGGAACAACAACATCTCAGAACGGGTTACGACACGTCTATATTGGCTGCGCTGAAGTAGAATGGACGACACCGAATAAGTATTTACGAACCCAGATTCCCTTGGCCTCAGTTGGAACAGGTTGTCTTGTAACGGAATAGCCCGACGACCAGCGAAGGTAACACACATCATTCATTGCAAAGCATCTAATCATAATTACGATTAAACTAAGGAAAGTTTGACGAGAGCAGAGACAGCCCTGATGAGAACTGAGCGAAGCGAGCTTAAGACTATAAAACACATACGCATATACATATACATAATATATATGCACGCACGTATACTACGTACCTACATGTGCATGCACATATACAAGTCGAGTCCCTCCATGGCCTCGCACCAACATATAGTAGAGACATGTTAGTCCCATATGAACCAGCCCGGACTGAGGAGCACAGGGACTGGACACCTGTTAGTGTCCAGAGTCAGAACTAACGTGGGTAGGCTGCCTTTCAGATTCACACTGCTAAAATCTGGAACAATCTTCCTGAAGATGCGAGACAGGCCTCCTCTCTGACAATGTTTAAGACAAGGTCAAACATATATTTCTATCCTTCTTTTTAATGTTCTGTGAATATCTATGATTTTAATGCTTTCTTATTTTGTTCAGCACTTTGAATTGCCTTGTGTATGAATTGTGCTATACAAATAAACTTGCCATGCCTTGCTATACAACATGCATTCACATACGCCATTATGCGCGTGACAGGGCCATGAAGCTAAACGCACTTTCTTCACCTTATGGGAGCGTCCAAATCAGACAGGCGTCAAAACTGCAGATTCCTCTTCACCCTGAGCGAGCAATATTACATTAGGCCTTTGTCTAGGGAGCAACCAAATCAGAGAGGCGCCAAAGCTGCAGATTCCTATTCACCCTGAACGTGCAATATGTCGTTAAGCCTCGGAGACCGATACATTAAGCCTTAATACGAACAATTCGGGCCTTAGAAGGAGACTGATTAGGGAAGACTCCAAAATGTAATTTTGCATGCCACCAAGCACGCTGGAGTTTGAACTGTCTCACGGAGGAGACTTGAGCAGCAGTGACACGGAGCCTGGACGTGTTTAAGGAGCGGCGCCAATAAGCACTGACGAGCAGATCAGAGCGGGTCAAAGCAGGAACAGACCCCAAACAAACGATGGCACGGGACAATCACGGGCCCGGGACAAGCACGTACGACGCAACCACAATGCGATTCATACGGGCAAACAGGCCATGTCACGCCAGCGTGCGCCGCTTGTCTCTGTGAGCCAGGTTACATACGTGTCTGAAAGAGCCGAGTCGTAGAGAGGTGCAGCCTGGGAGCGGCAGCGGCAGGAACAGCAGCAGCGGCACGTGTAGTAGTAGGAGCAGCAGGAGCAGGCAGCAGCAGGAGCGGCAGCAGGAGCAGGCAGCAGCAGGAGCGGCAGCAGGAACAGGCAGCAGCAGGAGCGGCAGCGGAACAGGCAGCAGCGGGAACAGGCATCAGTAGGAGCAGCAGGAGCAGGCAGCAGGAACAGGCAGCAGCAGGAGCGGCAGCGGAACAGGCATCAGTAGGAGCAGCAGGAGCGGCAGCAGGAACAGGCAGCAGCAGGAGCGGCAGCGGAACAGGCAGCAGCAGGAGCGGCAGCAGGAACAGGCAGCAGCAGGAGCGGCAGCGGAACAGGCATCAGTAGGAGCAGCAGGAGCAGGCAGCAGGGACAGGCAGCGGTAGGAGCAGCAGGAGCGGCAGCAGGAACAGGCAGCAGCGGGAACAGGCATCAGTAGGAGCGGCAGGAACGGGGAGCAGGCATCAGTAGGAGCAGCAGCGGGAACAGGCATCAGTAGTAGCAGCAGGAACGGGGAGCAGGCATCAGTAGTAGCAGCAGGAACGGGGAGCAGGCATCAGGGAACAGGCATTAGTAGGAGCAGCAGGGACCGGCAGCAGCGGCGGTCAGAGAACCATGCCCATGGTTGTTTAAGAGCCTCAGGAAGCGTTGTTTGTCAGGAAGTGGCTGCCTTTTAAACTGCCCGCTTTGCTCTGAGAGGGTTGGCAGGAGGCTGGCCTGGCTGTGTGATTGGCTGAGGCTCGAGGCTGGCAGAGCTGTGTGATTGGCTGAGGCTCGAGGCTGGCAGGCACTCGGTCTTTCAGTCTGAACATCCGCTTGAGCTTCATTTGAGGTGATGTCACAGAATGTTCCGGAGCAAAGAAGTCCAGTCTCTGCTTTGACCAAATGTTACATCAAACATAAATAATAAGATACGGGTTTGGAGCAGAGAGAGTAGAGTGAAAAAGAGGCGGTGGTTTCAGATGTGTTCTCTCTGTCTCTGGGATAATTATCTCTCCGTGACCCGTGTGACATTTTCAATTTGAGTTTGACTCCGGGATCAGGAGCAGAACAATCCACTCAGCTTTTTCTATCAGACGACTGCATTTCTGAATCAAACTGGAAAAGGAAACGGAATAAGGACCAAGCATAATGTCCGTCTTCATTTGGAGGAGCAGAGAGAAGGCTTCCTCTGGGGCAAAGACAACAGGCCACGACTCAAATGGAAAAGGTTTGTTTTGAGACGAGGACTTGGTGGCGGCTGAGAAGGAAAAGTTTGCTTGAGAAAATTCAAGATTTTATTTGCCATTTTCAGTAAAACCACACTGGAAAAACTGTGCAAGACGACCCCAGTGTGCACCAATGTCCAACAGTACACCTTGTATTCTGCCCTGATCCGAAAAAAAATATTAATATAAATCCTGCTGGGACCCTGAGGAGCACAGGGACTGGCCTCCTGCTGGGACTCTGAGGAGCACAGGGACTGGCCTCCTGCTGGGACTCTGAGGAGCACAGGGACTGGCCTCCTGCTGGGACTCTGAGGAGCACATGGACTGGCCTCCTGCTGGGACTCTGAGGAGCACAGGGACTGGCCTCCTGCTGGGACTCTGAGGAGCACAGGGACTGGCCTCCTGCTGGGACTCTGAGGAGCACATGGACTGGCCTCCTGCTGGGACTCTGAGGAGCACAGGGACTGGCCTCCTGCTGGGACTCTGAGGAGCACAGGGACTGGCCTCCTGCTGGGACTCTGAGGAGCACAGGGACTGGCCTCCTGCTGGGACTCTGAGGAGCACAGGGACTGGCCTCCTGCTGGGACTCTGAGGAGCACAGGGACTGGCCTCCTGCTGGGACTCTGAGGAGCACAGGGACTGGCCTCCTGCTGGGACTCTGAGGAGCACAGGGACTGACTGACTGGGACATTGACTTCAACTCCTCAGAGATCGGTAGCAGCTGATTGGTGGTCTGTGATTGGTGGTCTGTTACTGGTCGTCCGTCATTGGTCGTCTGTCATTGGTCGTCCGTCATTGGTCGTCTGTCATTGGTCGTCCGTCATTGGTCGTCTGTCATTGGTTGTCCGTCATTGGTCGTCTGTCATTGGTCGTCTGTCATTGGTCGTCTGTCATTGGTCGTCTGTGATTGGTCCTGTCTGGGTAACTCCACGGTCATGCAGTGAGTTTAACCTGAGGGTTTTAGGACCCAGATGGTCCCTGGTGTCACAGTGAGAGGCGTCTTCAGTGTAAGTGAATCGAGAATAGGATCAAATTTCACCCATGAGCACTTCCCTCTGAGGCTGCAGCTCTAATGGAGCAGCTCTGTCCGTTCTTGTTAAACACTTTTATATGATTTCACCTGGATTTAAATTCTACTTTGTCAGAGTCACAGACGAGGAGTTAATGCAGTGGAATGTTCTATGTTCAGAAACTATCAAACTTTTCACAAACTGATTCTAGGTTTTTCTGTTTCTGTTTTGATACAAACGTTTACTTTCTCTGTTTATGTAAAAGAATGAGACGTTAATGTTACTTATTTCCAGGAGCTAAACCGCGTGGGCAAAGTTAAAGGGTCTTTATCTCTGCGTGAGCATCTGTTTACTCCATAGACTGTATATATTAACGGACAGAGTCACGCCTATCTCCGCCGTTCTAACTAATGGGCCAAAAAATGTGCTCTACTGGAGCTATCCAAAATGGCCGCGAGTGGTCCCACCCACAAGAAAATTGAGAAAAAACGCATCTGCGCATGCGTCAGCCGGAGAGAGCTCCATTCATTTGAACGAGAGACTTCAAAAATTCACAGCGACTAAGGCCCTGTCCACACGAAGTCAAGCTCAGGCCTAAACGCAAAAATACTTTATCAATCCAGTGTATCGTCCATACGAGGCCGGCGTTTTAGGGGGGTGTAAACGAACATTTTTGAAACTAGGTCCCAGAGTGGAAAGATTTCAAAACTCCGTATATGCCGCTCCGTGGTTACTGCCTCTCCGCAATGTATCTGAGACGCGTCATCGCCCCGCCTCTTGTTAAAGCAGCATGCGCCGCACTCAGAAAATAATGACAACAACAATGTAGCTTGTTGGTTTTGTAATCCAGTGTGACCCGAAGCAACAGTTCAACCTCATCGTCCGTCCATACTAATGTAGTACCAGCTCGCCCACTCGCCATGTTGTCTGTTTACAAAATTCTGTGCATGCCCAGTTCCCGTCACGGAAGTTTGGGCTTGATCCCGTCATTGCGTCACAGCGCCACCAACAGGTCTGGCATAGTTTCACAGCGTTTTCAGGCGTATTGACTACATTCATATGGACGCACACATTTACTGAGCTAACTCCGTGTTTACAGAAAAAGTTTCTGAAATTATAAGCGTTTTGTCTTCGTGTGGATATAGCCTAAACTAGACTGGTCCAGAACACTCAGCATTGACACACATGTGGAACGGAGCTTTGGGCCAAGAGCCAACTTTTGGTCCATCCTGTAAAGACGTTTTTGAGAGGTCTGCCAATGCTATATGTTAGCATAATTCTACTTCTGGGTCCACCCCCACAGGCCCGGGGTGGTATTGCAGCATGTCAGCGCACGTCATTTTGGACACTTTTGAGTCAGGACCCGCCCACACTGGTTTACTCAGATGTTCATATCTGACTCACACACAAACATGTGATAAACATAGCCTTTAATTAACTCTGGACCTCATGCAGCTCACAGATAAACTGAGTTTGTCTCTCTCTCTTTGCCTTCCTCTCTCTCTCCCTTTCTCTCTTCCTCACTCTCCCCCCCTCGCTCCCTCCCTCTCTTTCTCTCTCTCCCCCCCTCTCTCCCTCTCCCTCTCCCTCCCTCTCTTTCTCTCTCTCCCCCCCTCTCTCCCTCTCCCTCTCCCTCCCTCTCTTTCTCTCTCTCCGCCTCTCTCCCTCTCTCTCTCTCCCCCTCTCTCTCTCTACCCTCTCCCTCCCCCCCTCTCCCTGTCTCTCTCCCTCTCTCTCTCCCTCTCTCCCTTTCTCTCTCCCCCCCTCTCTCTCCCTCCCCCCCTCTCTCCCCCCCCTCTCTCTCTCTCTCTCTCAGGTTTTTGCCATCTAAACCTCTCAGCGTCTCAGTTCCCTCGCGGTTTCTCCTTTGACGCTGACGAAGTAAACTTCCCCACTGAGCGCCTCTGCTTCCTGGGTCTGATCTCCATGATCGACCCGCCGCGGGCCGCCGTTCCAGACGCCGTGGGCAAGTGTCGCTCCGCTGGCATCAAGGTACACTTACTTCCACCACATCCAACCCCTGTGACACCTCTGACAACCACACGCCCCATGGGTTCGGGATCCAGATCTGCTGCATGAGGAGGTGCATGGGTCGTACAAGGACTTTTGATTTTATGTGTAAGAGGTGAGAAAACCCAGAAGTACTAAAAAGTTCTTACTGACAATGAGTGGCCAGAGTGTTGCTGGAAGCCACGGTTACCAAGGAATTTCCCCATAAATACTGGTTTGTTATGGGTAGGTTGTAAATACACACACAGTCTCACCTCAGACCACCTGCTCCCACCCCTGTCCTCCGGGAGGCGCTACAGGTCCATCTCTTTTAATCACTTCGCCTCAAAAACAAAAACTCAAGAACGTTCCCGCTGCCGTTCGCTCCTCGACCAATCCCTGATGTGTCGTGTCTCTTTTGTTGTTTATGTATAATTAATAAGTGATTCTGAGTCTGATATGAAGGACAAAGATGGCGGATAAAGCATAATGGAAACAAAACCACTGATATAAATGGCCTCCTGCAGCACAAACGTGTAATACATCACAGAGTTACCAGGAGAGAGTTACCAGGAGAGAGTTACCAGGAGAGAGTTACCAGGAGAGAGTTACCAGAAGAGAGTTACCAGGAGAGAGTTACCAGGAGAGAGTTACCGGGTCAAAAAGGAGGTTTATAGATAAGATATTGGTGAAAATATCAAAGTTTTCCAAATGAAGCTGCGATGAGGAAACCCTTTGGTGCGTCCTACACTTCTGCAAACATCAACAGACAGATGGGAAAGACAGAACAGAGAGTCTGCAGACCTGGATTATCAGTCACCACCATGAATGAATGAATGCCCTCTCACCCTCTCTCCCTCTCTCCCTCTCTCCCTCTCCCTCTCACCCTCTCTCCCTCTCACCCTTTCACCCTCTCACACTCTCTTCCTCTCACCCTCTCACTCTCACCCTCTCGCTCTCTCTCCCTCCCCCTCTCTTCCTCTCACCCTCTCACTCTCGCTCTCTCTCCCTCTCTTCTCTCTCACTCTCGCTCTCTCCCTCTCTTCCTCTCACCCTCTCACTCTCACCCTCTCACCCTCTCACACTCTCTCCCTCTCTCCCTCTCACCCTCTCACTCTCACCCTCTCTCCCTCTCACTCTCGCCCTCCCGCTCTCTCTCCCTCCCCCTCTCTTCCTCTCACCCTCTCACTCTCGCTCTCTCTCCCTCTCTTCCTCTCACCCTCTCACTCTCACCCTCTCTCCCTCTCACCCTCTCACTCTCGCTCTCTCTCCCTCTCTTCCTCTCACCCTCTCACTCTCACCCTCTCTCCCTCTCACCCTCTCACTCTCGCTCTCTCTCCCTCTCACTCTCTTCCTCTCACCCTCTCACTCTCGCTCTCTCTCCCTCTCTTCCTCTCACCCTCTCACTCTCACCCTCTCTCCCTCTCACCCTCTCACTCTCGCTCTCTCTCCCTCTCTTCCTCTCACCCTCTCACTCTCACCCTCTCTCCCTCTCACCCTCTCACTCTCGCTCTCTCTCCCTCTCACTCTCTCACCCTCTCACTCTCGCTCTCTCTCCCTCTCCCTCTCACTCTCGCCCTCTCTCCCTCTCACCCTCTCACTCTCTCCCTATCTCCCTCTCACCCTGAGAAACTCACCAAATCAATGGAATGTGTTATGTCTTGGCTGAAAGACTGCTGCTTGCAGCTTAATGTTTCCAAAACGGTCTCCATGTTTTTTAGTAAAAATAGGAGTGCTTCTAAAGATCCGGTAATTTATGTTGAAGGGGAAAAACTACAATCTGTCCCTCAGTATAAATATCTTGGACTGGATAGATTCACATCTCACTTTTAAAACACATGTTGAAAAGATCTGTAAAACAATCAAATTTAATCTTTCAAATTTCAGATCAATAAGATATGACATGTCAACTGAGGCCGCAAAACTTTTTTTAGATTCAATGATTTTTAGTCATTTTAATTATTGTTTAACAAGCTGGAGTCAAGCTAATAAGACTACTTTAAGACCACTAGAAATCTTATATAAGCAAGCCATCAAAGTAATGGATAAAAAGCGAAAATGTTATCATCACTGTTTAATTTTGGAAAAGTATTCCTTTCTAAGTTGGCCAGATCTTCATAAATTCTCAAATCTATGCTTAATATATAAAGCAACTCATAATTTGGTTCCCACTCCACTTGCAGGTCTGATAAGTCAAAGGAACAGTAGTGAGCGGCTCACTAGAGGCTCCGTGAGAGGCGACCGTGTGATCCCTCTGCGTAAGAGCACCTTCAGTCAGTCTGCCTGGTCCGTTAGAGGCACCAGAGAGTGGAACTCACTACAGTCCGTTAGAGGCACCAGAGAGTGGAACTCACTACAGACTGTTAGAGGCACCAGAGAGTGGAACTCACTACAGTCCGTTAGAGGCACCAGAGAGTGGAACTCACTACAGTCTGTTAGAGGCACCAGAGAGTGGAACTCACTACAGTCTGTTAGAGGCACCAGAGAGTGGAACTCACTACAGTCCGTTAGAGGCACCAGAGAGTGGAACTCACTACAGACTGTTAGAGGCACCAGAGAGTGGAACTCACTACAGACTGTTAGAGGCACCAGAGAGTGGAACTCACTACAGTCCGTTAGAGGCACCAGAGAGTGGAACTCACTACAGACTGTTAGAGGCACCAGAGAGTGGAACTCACTACAGTCTGTTAGAGGCACCAGAGAGTGGAACTCACTACAGTCTGTTAGAGGCACCAGAGAGTGGAACTCACTACAGTCTGTTAGAGGCACCAGAGAGAGGAACTCACTACCACAGTCTGTTAGAGGCACCAGAGAGTGGAACTCACCACAGACTGTTAGAGGCACCAGAGAGTGGAACTCACCACAGACTGTTAGAGGCACCAGAGAGTGGAACTCACCACAGACTGTTAGAGGCACCAGAGAGTGGAACTCACCACAGTCTGTTAGAGGCACCAGAGAGTGGAACTCACTACAGTCTGTTAGAGGCACCAGAGAGAGGAACTCACTACAGTCTGTTAGAGGCACCAGAGAGAGGAACTCACTACAGACTGTTAGAGGCACCAGAGAGAGGAACTCACTACAGACTGTTAGAGGCACCAGAGAGAGGAACTCACTACAGACTGTTAGAGGCACCAGAGAGAGGAACTCACTACAGACTGTTAGAGGCACCAGAGAGTGGAACTCACTACAGACTGTTAGAGGCACCAGAGAGAGGAACTCACTACAGACTGTTAGAGGCACCAGAGAGTGGAACTCACTACAGACTGTTAGAGGCACCAGAGAGTGGAACTCACAGACTGTTACAGAGAGGGAACTCACACAGACTGTTAGAGGCACCAGAGAGAGGAACTCACTACAGACTGTTAGAGGCACCAGAGAGAGGAACTCACTACAGACTGTTAGAGGCACCAGAGAGTGGAACTCACTACAGACTGTTAGAGGCACCAGAGAGTGGAACTCACTACAGACTGTTAGAGGCACCAGAGAGTGGAACTCACTACAGACTGTTAGAGGCACCAGAGAGTGGAACTCACTACAGACTGTTAGAGGCACCAGAGAGTGGAACTCACTACAGACTGTTAGAGGCACCAGAGAGTGGAACTCACTACAGACTGTTAGAGGCACCAGAGAGTGGAACTCACTACAGACTGTTAGAGGCACCAGAGAGTGGAACTCACTACAGACTGTTAGAGGCACCAGAGAGAGGAACTCACACAGACTGTTAGAGGCACCAGAGAGAGGAACTCACTACAGTCTGTTAGAGGCACCAGAGAGAGGGAACTCACTACAGTCTGTTAGAGGCACCAGAGAGAGGAACTCCACTACAGTCACTGTTAGAGGAACTCACACAGACTGTTAGAGGCACCAGAGAGAGGAACTCACTACAGACTGTTAGAGGCACCAGAGAGTGGAACTCACTACAGACTGTTAGAGGCACCAGAGAGGAACTCACTACCACAGACTGTTAGAGGCACCAGAGAGAGGAACTCACTACAGTCTGTTAGAGGCACCAGAGAGTGGAACTCACTACAGACTGTTAGAGGCACCAGAGAGAGGAACTCACTACAGACTGTTAGAGGCACCAGAGAGTGGAACTCACTACAGACTGTTAGAGGCACCAGAGAGTGGAACTCACTACCACAGACTGTTAGAGGCACCAGAGAGTGGAACTCACTACAGACTGTTAGAGGCACCAGAGAGAGGAACTCACTACAGACTGTTAGAGGCACCAAGAGAGAACTCACTACAGACTGTTAGAGGCACCAGAGAGTGGAACTCACTACAGACTGTTAGAGGCACCAGAGAGAGGAACTCACTACAGACTGTTAGAGGCACCAGAGAGTGGAACTCACTACAGACTGTTAGAGGCACCAGAGAGAGGAACTCACCACAGACTGTTAGAGGCACCAGAGAGAGGAACTCACCACAGACTGTTAGAGGCACCAGAGAGTGGAACTCACTACATACTGTTAGAGGCACCAGAGAGAGGAACTCACCACAGACTGTTAGAGGCACCAGAGAGAGGAACTCACTACAGACTGTTAGAGGCACCAGAGAGAGGAACTCACTACAGACTGTTAGAGGCACCAGAGAGAGGAACTCACCACAGACTGTTAGAGGCACCAGAGAGTGGAACTCACTACAGACTGTTAGAGGCACCAGAGAGAGGAACTCACTACAGACTGTTAGAGGCACCAGAGAGAGGAACTCACCACAGACTGTTAGAGGCACCAGAGAGAGGAACTCACTACAGTCTGTTAGAGGCACCAGAGAGAGGAACTCACCACAGACTGTTAGAGGCACCAGAGAGAGGAACTCACTACAGACTGTTAGAGGCACCAGAGAGAGGAACTCACCACAGACTGTTAGAGGCACCAGAGAGTGGAACTCACTACAGACTGTTAGAGGCACCAGAGAGTGGAACTCACTACAGACTGTTAGAGGCACCAGAGAGAGGAACTCACCACAGACTGTTAGAGGCACCAGAGAGAGGAACTCACCACAGACTGTTAGAGGCACCAGAGAGTGGAACTCACTACAGACTGTTAGAGGCACCAGAGAGAGGAACTCACCACAGACTGTTAGAGGCACCAGAGAGAGGAACTCACCACAGACTGTTAGAGGCACCAGAGAGAGGAACTCACTACAGACTGTTAGAGGCACCAGAGAGAGGAACTCACCACAGACTGTTAGAGGCACCAGAGAGAGGAACTCACTACAGACTGTTAGAGGCACCAGAGAGAGGAACTCACTACAGACTGTTAGAGGCACCAGAGAGTGGAACTCACTACAGACTGTTAGAGGCACCAGAGAGAGGAACTCACTACAGACTGTTAGAGGCACCAGAGAGAGGAACTCACTACAGACTGTTAGAGGCACCAGAGAGAGGAACTCACTACAGTCTGTTAGAGGCACCAGAGAGAGGAACTCACCACAGACTGTTAGAGGCACCAGAGAGAGGAACTCACTACAGTCTGTTAGAGGCACCAGAGAGAGGAACTCACTACAGTCTGTTAGAGGCACCAGAGAGAGGAACTCACTACAGACTGTTAGAGGCACCAGAGTGGAACTCACTACAGTCTGTTAGAGGCACCAGAGAGAGGAACTCACTACAGTCTGTTAGAGGCACCAGAGAGTGGAACTCACCACAGACTGTTAGAGGCACCAGAGAGAGGAACTCACTACAGACTGTTAGAGGCACCAGAGAGTGGAACTCACTACAGTCTGTTAGAGGCACCAGAGAGAGGAACTCACTACAGTCTGTTAGAGGCACCAGAGAGTGGAACTCACTACAGTCTGTTAGAGGCACCAGAGAGAGGAACTCACTACAGACTGTTAGAGGCACCAGAGAGTGGAACTCACTACAGTCTGTTAGAGGCACCAGAGAGAGGAACTCACTACAGTCTGTTAGAGGCACCAGAGAGTGGAACTCACCACAGACTGTTAGAGGCACCAGAGAGAGGAACTCACCACAGACTGTTAGAGGCACCAGAGAGTGGAACTCACTACAGACTGTTAGAGGCACCAGAGAGAGGAACTCACCACAGACTGTTAGAGGCACCAGAGAGAGGAACTCACCACAGACTGTTAGAGGCACCAGAGAGAGGAACTCACCACAGACTGTTAGAGGCACCAGAGAGTGGAACTCACTACAGTCTGTTAGAGGCACCAGAGAGTGGAACTCACCACAGACTGTTAGAGGCACCAGAGAGAGGAACTCACTACAGACTGTTAGAGGCACCAGAGAGTGGAACTCACCACAGACTGTTAGAGGCACCAGAGAGAGGAACTCACTACAGACTGTTAGAGGCACCAGAGAGAGGAACTCACTACAGACTGTTAGAGGCACCAGAGGAACTCACTACAGTCTGTTAGAGGCACCAGAGGAACTCACTACAGTCTGTTAGAGGCACCAGAGAGAGGAACTCACTACAGTCTGTTAGAGGCACCAGAGAGAGGAACTCACTACAGTCTGTTAGAGGCACCAGAGAGAGGAACTCACCACAGACTGTTAGAGGCACCAGAGAGAGGAACTCACCACAGACTGTTAGAGGCACCAGAGAGTGGAACTCACTACAGTCTGTTAGAGGCACCAGAGAGAGGAACTCACTACAGTCTGTTAGAGGCA